TGAGAGCAATTAAATCTCAGTAGTAATAGAAATAATTAGAAGAATGTTTTCAGTTGAATTCAATATTACGTGAAGAATTCGGTGATAGCATAAACGAAGTAGAAGATTCAGTGTCGATAGGAATCGATCTAACATCATCAGATGGAATGATAGTATCTGATTTCCTTGTACCGTTTGGAAGTCTAAGGCCTTCGATGCCTAACGGATTCACCTTCGAAGCACCAACATGCAAGAGAAATATCTATAGGTTTGGTTTGAGTAGTATAATATCATTCTGAGGACTTCTACTAGGAGCAGTTGAATCTTATGGGATAAAGTAGTTGTTTGAATCTGGAAAAAGGATTTAAGTCTTTGGGAAATGATTTGGTATTGGGTTGTGAAATAGTATGGATGATTATGAAGTGGTGCAGTTGAGAAAATGAGATTATTTTTTGGGTTTCTTATCGATAATATGAATGAATACAAGTTATCGTAATTTATTATTTGATATTCGAATTTGCGTTGTTAATGCTGATTATGAGTTTATTATTGTGAGTTTCTTATTGCTTTCATATGTGTGAAGAGGGCATAATAATGATCATTCAGGCTTGCAAGAGCACTCTCAATCGATAAACCGATTCTGATAGAAGGTGCCCCAGGTTGTGGTAAATCAAGTACCGTCGTAGCGTTAGCGGCTGCCACAGGTCATCCTCTGACAAGGTTGAATCTCTCAGATCAGACGGTAAGTAGTATTTTTGTATATTCGTAACAGTAGCAGTGGAATACTAGGATACTTTATTGTTTCCAATATGATGCATGATTTGATGAAATGGGCTGATTTTGATTAGAGTTTATGTGAGAAGTATTTGAGTATTGACAGTTGGTATTACTCGCATTGTTGAGTGATTGAATGGTTTTAGGATTTGAGCGATCTGTTTGGAAGTGACATTCCAGTGGTGTTGCCGGACGGCAGTGCTTCATTTGCGTGGAGCGATGGGCCTGTACTGAGTGCAATTAAACAAGGACATTGGATCCTTCTTGATGAGGTATCCTTCCTTTTTTTGTTGTTTGAAATGAGT